CAACTGGTTTGTGTTCTGAGCTGGATACCCTTTTTATATCTGTTCGGCAAGAGAGACGGCCCTCGGGTGTCAGCTTTTTCTTTGCTTCTTCAATGCCTTCAGACTCAGCTGGTTGAGTAGCGAGAAATTTTTCAAGGTCCTCGTCCTCGGCCGCCAGTTCTATTTCACCACTATTTTAACTTTTCAAATGCTGATTTAAACATCTGGAAAACGAGATCTGTGTTTTTCCCGATTAATCTTTCAAATCTCTTTGATCGGACAAAGTAGCAGATGGAGTACCGGTTTTTACTTTCCAAAGAGAGACTTGGACACAAACCTTTGTGTCACCAGTTTTTTGCAACTTCTCATGGTTGAAAAAAATGGCTCTAATAGCTTGATATTTCGCGGTCGCATTCCTCCTTGTTTAAGATGTGGCGCTGGATCTCGCTGTTACACGTGCATTCACACATTTCTTCACAAGAACAATACTTAAGATAGTTATCTTTAATAATATTCATCTGAGCGCTTTTTAAACAGTGTCCTATCAGCCGACTGACATAGGAAGTACCACAAGGAGTCGGACATTCGTCGAAAAATTCTTGAGTGAATGGAGGCCATTCAGGGATTTCAATGAACTCCAGCCCTTCGAAAAGATCCTTAACATGCATTATCTCAGAATCAATTTCTTGTCGCCTCATGGACGTAAAGAAACCTCAGGATTTAAGTGTCATCAGAATATCAAGACTACAACGATAACGAAAAACGAGCGTATTAACATTACTCTCCGAGAGAATAATATTTGACAAAATGCCAGTTCCTGAAACCACGATAATTCCAAATAGGATTTCAGGTTTAAAAGCTACTTGTCTTTCCTGATAACGAGTTGTAGTAAACTCAATCACCGCCTATACATCGCCAAATTGAAATACACAGTTGGGAGTCAAATTGTCATCAGCATTCAGTCTTCTCATACAGCTCAATCTGACATCTGTTGTAGTCGACAATAAGGAAAAAGTGAAATAATACGGGAAAGACTCCGCTGATTTATCAGTCACCTCCATGGTAAACCGTTGTTCTAGGCCGAATGTTTCTGTTAGCTCAACTTCAAAATCCTCAAAGATAACTCTCACAGCTTGCGTATTGCTCGTGTCAGGTGGTTGAATATGATACATATGTATTTCGTACGCGCTAGATGCTTCATAAAAAAACTCCTCTTGGAACACACACATCGTTAAACCTAATCTCCGAGTCGATCGTGTTCTGGACGATTTTCTGCAGAAGCTGGTGCTGCATTAGAATGATCGTTGTAGTAACTAAACCTTTTATAAACATTTCCAGCTATATCTCGGCAACGAAAGGACCAAAAAGCGTCAAATCTGGAAAGTAAACAGATTAAACAACTGTGAACATTATGACATTCCTAACAAATTATTTACAGTTTTAAGAAAAGAGTTAAATATACCTTTTCCAAAGTCGCTCTGATAACTTCCGGGTGACTCGACATGACACAGTGGCATTGAGCCAAACTTGCTGGAAGCGCGTTGCTTTGTTCGCAGAAAATTTTAACACAAACTGGAAATGACGAAGCCCATATTCAGTATACAAGAACAATATAAAAAACGCCAAATCTTAGCAAATACAAAACCACTAACAAAAGTAACATAAGACATAAAAAGAACACTGCTTCCATTCCCTCTGCTGTCTTGCGTGGACCCTCTTATTTAGTCTGCTCCAGCGAGTTATCGTTTCTCGCTTTATCTTTTTCTTCGCTGAAGTGAACGCTGACGCCTTTGAAGCCGGCTTCTTTTTTCTGAATCTTCTTGATAGTTTTTATCGTTTGTTCCTTGTGCTTCCGGGAGTATTTCATCTTCGCTTTTCGGGACAATTACAGTTTAAGGGAAAAAACTTTATTTTATCAACAAATTTAGATGCATCAAAAAAAATGATTATAATAAAGGCAGTGTAAAAAATTTGCATTTAAATTTTTATCTGTGGTGGAATTTTCTAACAAATTCTTCACTGAAATATTTTAGGCGAAAATGCGTGTCTATGGCTGTGTCATCGGGTTGTATAGCTTATGTTACTGATAATGGAAAGGCATATGTTTTTGGACGTCATGCTATGAACTGCAATCCGGAAACAGGACAAATTTACGGGCTGGATAATATTCATTTGGCGACAATTTCACTTGGTAAAACCCATGCAGCTGCTGTCACTAGACATGGACATCTCTACACTTGGGGTTTAAATAATCTGAATCAGTGCGGACGAATTGAGGTTAAAAAGCTTGAATTTCTGAGTTATTTGGTTTAAAAATAATTACTGTAACAATAGATTATTGTGAATTTTGTGAACGGTTTTTGTTCATGTAAATATTTAGGTTTCATGCTCTCCGCGGACTGAAATTCTTGATTCTAAGGTAATCAATTATAAAACAAGTGTTGATGAAAATGTGGAAAATGGTAGCTACTGCTCATTGGAAGAACACTTATTTGTTAGAGACTCGGCATCTATTTGTATCAAATGTGGTGAATGTTCAGTTCGTGGATCAAAGTAGGACTTTGAAATCAAATTGCTTCGTACAGAAAGCGGTATCCATTCAACTTTTTGTTGAAATTAAAAAGTAAATGTTAAGATGTTCTGGTGAGTCAGCAGCATCTGAAAAAAGCCTTCGAAAAGGTACGCTCTGTACATGTGGTAGTGAAGGTGAAACCTGCTGTTTAAGGTAAGGACATTATTAATTAAAGCTGTTACTACTTTCTTGAATTTTTTTAAACATACTTTATTACACTTCTAATTTCCAGCAAACTGCAATATTTTTTCTAACTTATAAAAGGCAAAAAGAGTAGTTTAAATTATTTTTATCAATGCATTTGCGTTATATTACGTTTTACAGATGCGGTTTGTGTCGTAAATGTGGTGAAAAATCGGCATCAGACGATTTTTCTTGTTCCAACAGTGATCGATGTCGAACACCTCAACGAACAATTTTGCAGCCAGCAAAGTTGGCCTTAAGCGAGACTACACCAAATGTCAAAGTAAGCAAAATGAAGCCACTGTAATATATACGGTTGTAGACTTTCTGGTTTTCACCTATTCATAGAATTTTTTTCATTAAACTAATCTGTTTGAAATTGGTTCTGAAGCATCTGCTTTTTCTAGGTTTCTCTGATTGCCTGCGGAAATTATCATACTCTTGTTCTTGGAGCGGATAGAAATGTTTTTGCATTTGGTTCAAACTGCCATGGTCAGCTGGGTGTTGGAAACACACAGCGATATATTGGACCTCAGAAAGTAAAATTATTGTTTCTTGCTTTGCATTTACTGTATACAAAAAAGAAAACTTGTTAGCAATTAAAAGTTTCTAAGCTCAAAATTGATAGGACAAACTGAGTTCAAAACTTCAATTCCAGAGTTATATTCTTGAAGCTAAAGAACTTCAGACTCGGAAGATGGCAAGACTATAGTTAAATAATTTACAGGTTGAATTGCCTCCCGATGTCCAAGTAGTGCAAATTGCTGCCGGAGCTAATCACTCTGTCTTAAGAACAGCAGACGGTTCAGTGATAACATTTGGTGCACATCGTCAAGGCCAACTGGCTAGGTTTCTTTTGCTTAAAGCTAATGAATTCTTCTGATTTTGAAGAATATGTTCGACATGTTTGAGACTGACTTACTGATTTTGTGGTGAATTTTAATTATTCTTTTAATTTTACTAGCTGAAACTTTTTTTATTTTTTCTGATTTCCTGTTGATTTTTATAGGGTAGGACAGGGCCGATACTGGTATGCAAAACCAGAATTTGTCCCAGAACTAGGCAAAAATCACGGAGTAATGGCCACTTGGGTAGGAGCAATTGGGGATGTAACGATGATCCACAGTCAGAAGCGAGTATTCAGCAATGATATTGTCGTTAATTGCCAGGTAGGTCGGTTTTGGCTCTTCAAAACAAAACGAAAAAAAACGGAATGTATAGAAATTCAAAACTAGGAATATTCTTGTGTTTTCATACGCACAAAGACCAATCTGCATTGAAAAAAGGGAAAAAACTGACTTTGAAAAAACGAAAGTTGGTGTTTAAAAACGTTGGACACGATGGAAGAAATATGCTGTCTGTTATAACAAATAGGTATCTTCTACCTCTGATAAGTTTAGGTAGTTTCAAACAAATCTGCTATAATAATATTTCCTAATGAGGTCGGCAAAGACTACGTCGCCATCCGAAAACAGTATAGCGGTTTCTATCAACACTCATTGGGTACTGCTGGACTTTATACAAGGTTAATTTTCGTCTGCTACATTTTTTAATACTCCCTGAACAAAAAGCTATTTTAATTCTGATTTTCAATGCGATAATTTCGCGCAGTGTTGACATCAGTTGATTGCTTAAACATTTTTTAGTTGGTGTCTTGAACCGACTTACAATCTTATGTGGTCATTCAATGCTGCAGAAATGCGCGTTCAGTCATTTTCGGACTGCGTTAAACAGTTATGCGCAGTAGAATCTAACAGCATTAAGAAGATTAAAGATATAATGATCTTAAGAGCACCAGAATATATAATTCCAAAGGTTGCTGAAGCAAGACTAAGCACACATCAGGCAGCTCTGAGTCTGTTAAGTACCAGTTACGTTATCACAGCGGTGGAACCCTCAATAAGCGAGGGGTTGAAGGTAATATCTCTTTTCCATTTCTTGTAAGAGGTTCAAATAGTAGGCATTCAAAGAGTCGTATTTTTTTTTCTGAAGGTTTGCAGTAC